AAAGGCAAGAATTTAAATTTATTGCAAATGAAAAACTGTCTATTTTATGAATTTTTTTTTTCAATTACAGCAAAAACTTTCTCTTCTTTACAAAATATATTAATAATCAAATATTGGTTTCATTTGAAAGTAATTATGAAAATTGTTTTTTTGTTGTTTTTAATTTCGGTCAAAATGTCAGTCATTTTACTATGCGGTAAATTGACCATGGCACAGGCTCTGAATTATATTGTATAAGCAATACCAGTTTTATTTAAACAGGATTTCTATCGCGCTTTCTAGGAAGAGAACCGCACATAGTTGAGACACTTGGTACCAAGAGTGGATATTAGAAAAAAGAAATAGGAAAGATGAAAAAAAAGGGGGAAAAATGTTTATTTTTATAAATAAACGTCATCTTATATAGATAGAAATATGTATTTACCGCAATCTTATTAGAATTGAAAAGACTTCTTTTGTATTTTATTTATGATTTTATTTATGATTTTATTCACTATTTTATTCGTGATTCTATTCGCGATTTTCAAATGGGAACATAAACCATAATTTAGACCATAATTTATTCGCGTTGTAAAATTACTAATTCATCTTTATTTCCTCTTTATTTTGATATATGTATATATTAAATCTGAAATTCAATTGTGAGATGTTTATTTTCTTACCCGGTGTTTATTGAAATATTGGCGACAATTCAAGGATTCTTGGATATTTTATAATATTGGAACTTTTTAGCCTCGTAGCGAAAGAAACAAAATCGAAGAAAAGGATTTTTTTCTTGGATTTCATATTGCATGTGCGTTCAAAAAAAAATTTTTTATTTTGAATTAGGTGTCTTTTCCTCCTCCCTACATTTTTCTATATACACGCACGTTAGAAAGTCACGAGAGTCTCTCAACAATAATAATTGCTTTCTTATATTTTCTGTGTTAAATTCACTGATAAGTTTTTTTTTAAATTGTAATAAAAAAATATTTAATGTTTAATAATTTAATAAATTTAATATTCAATAATATAAAGTAAATATGTTTAATAATTAATATATTTTAGAATAATTATAATATTCTAAAGTTCTCAACGTTCAAGTGAATGAAATTAATTTGCTTCTTTTTTAAATTTTATTTCAACAATTTTGCGTCACTGTCAAATAAACTTAAATGTCAAATTTGTTAAATATAAAATTTAATTTTTTTATTTTATTTTTTATTTGAATTAAAATAACAAGGAATAAAAAAATTTATTTCATTCCTATCAGTAATTTAGGAAAATATTTTTATTTAAAAATATTTCGTTTATTTGCACGTTCAAAACTTATGTGGATCATAAGATATATTTTGGATTATAAGGAATATAATTTAAGAGAATTATAATTTATTATTGCTTTGAAAATAAGAAATTTATGTTATCGTGTCATCTTTTATATAAATATTTTTGATAGTGAAACGAAAACTAATATTTGAAGTTCGAGTTTCTTTGGAGTATTTTCTTTACACATTTGTGTAAAGAACTTTTTAGAAACGATATTTCTTGATAAAATTTTCAAAATAGGGAAAATTGTAAAGATTTAAAATTATTGTCCTGAAAATAAAATTTTATTTTATAAAATATTTTCCCTGGAGAACATTGTAACCTTGAAAATTAAGAAGTAATGCTTTTTTTAAAAAGTTTTTCACTGTATTGATAATCAAAGTGATAATCAAGTACTTGAAAAAAAGTGCATGTGCAACACGCGATGCATTATAACACGAATCTTCGAGGCATTTTTTTGTTTAGTGCATGTGTTCATATTTATATTAAATAAGTGTATAAATTTAACATTCTCGTGGTTTTATTTAAATATTATTGAAATATTTTCGTTTATTGTAAAATAGAAAATTTATTTAGATGTGAATTAGAAATTTTTAAAAATTTAAACGAAAGATGAAACTAAAAATGACGAGAATAAGTGATTAATTTTTTATTACAATTAATTATTATAAAATAAATAATAACTATATAAATATGAAAAATAAAAAAATATACACTGAGAAAACAATATATTTGAATCAAACATAATTATCTTTGTTATGCAGTCAACAACAAATTATTTTTGAATTAAACATAATAATTTTGATTCAATAAAAATTATAGGTTTAATTCAATTATATAAAATATAATTCATAATATAATTCATAACATAATTTTTTGGTTAGCTACTTATTTTGGGATTAAAAAAAATTTGTCTCGGTGTGAATATAAAAAAATTAAAATATTTAAATATATTTGAAAAAGGGAAATGCGTTCTTAAAAAAATGACAATAAGGAATAAAAAAAATTTATTGCCAATTAGAAGGAATTAAAAATTTTTTTTCTGGAATTTTTTCTTCAAGTAAAGGGACATTAATGCATATACAGAAATAATGACGTAAAAGTATGTAATATCATACTTAACTCATTGTTAGACATGAAGATGAATGTGACAGATGAGAAAAGAAATTTAATTGTGTTAAAAAAAGAGAGACTTGAAAGGCGTCCTTCTGCGATGCATTTATGGTGATTTATTTATGGTCGCGCATAGATGCAATTCTTTGAGTCGTTTCTTGACTAAGAAGATAAAAATATACTTATATTGAATAATCATTTTTTTTTATTTGTAAATTGAGGAAAAAATGAGGAAATGAAAAAATATTCTTGATTTTTGTGTTGAATTGACTTTTTAACTACGAGAGATGGATTAAGATATTCATCTTATGATAGATAAATAAAATTCAAATTTAATGTTCTTGTACGATAAAAGAGGTTTTTCTCCTACGCTTTTTTGGTATTTAAATCTTGTTGTTTCTTTTTTTGGATAATTGAGTAAATGAATCCAACAGCTGGTTTTAGTTTCCCGACTGAAACGTGCTTTCTTCTTTCTACATAGTTCAATAAAATGTTCCAAAAATAGTTGTCGAGACCCATTTTGAAGTAGCAATAAGCAAATCAGAATATAGTGTGTATTAAGAACAGAATTTAGGGGAATTACAACAAAAGCAATTTTATATGATTCAGTTTTGAGTTTAAAAAAAATTTTAAATTTGAACTTTTTTTTTATTGACGTTTCGTTAATATTTTCGACTCCAATATTTTATGTTCCTAAAATTTCGAAACTTCAACTGAACGACAATATTTTTTTTATCTTCTTTCGTCTGTATTTTTTAAAAATTAATTTTGTATATTAATTAATTTTTAACTAAGTAATTATTCTTCTTTTTTCAAAAATATTTGTGCAGAAGAGAAATTTTGTTCATTTTGAACTTTGCGGGAAAATATAATATTTTTGGAGTGCGGAAATTCATTTTATCAAATTTGAAAATAGAAATACTTTAAAGTGTTAAATTTGACTCCAAATGAGTTAAAATCAGTTTAATTATTAATTAAGGCGGTAATTATTTTGATTTGATTGAAAATTGGCTCAATTGGAGTAATGACTTCTTTTTATAGAAATACTCCGAATAATAAATAAATAATAAATTAATTTGTAAATGAAGTAATTAGTAATTAATTATTATAATTTATATTATATAATTGATCAAATAAGAATTGATGACAAAAAATTTGTTTGTAAATAATTCAGAGGAAATTTTACAATTTCCTCTGAATTATTTACAAACAAATTTTTTGTTTACAAATAAAAAGCAAAAAAGAAACGAATTATAATTCATTTTTTATTATTAATTATTATAAACAATAAAATAAAAATTATCATGTAAAATTTAATTTGTTTTATAAATAAACTTCTTCAGGAACAAATTTTGTGTTTACAATAATAAAAAGCAAAAAAAAAAAAAAAAAAAATGAAAATTATAAAATAAGTTATAGTTAATTAATTAATATTTATTAAATTATGTTTAAAAACATTAGAACAATTTAAATAATAATTTTTTAAGGTAGAAAAAAAGAAGTATGACAATTAGCTGTTTCGGATAGACAAGAACCTTTAATCGACAATCAATAACCATTAATAAAAAAATCAAACATTTGTTCATGAATCAAGTATAATTTGAATAAAATGGAAAAGCATTTACGTCAAATATTCAAGAAATTATTCCAATTGAGACACGCATTTACTATATAGTAGAGGAAAAAAGAAAATTATATTTTATTTTTATTTAGTCTATAATTACTTTTCTATATTGGTCTTTAATTTGAATAGCAAATAGTCACTGAATGATAAAACTTATAAAATAAGTTTGACGTTTAAATGGTTTATTGTAATGGTCTATTTTAAGACTTATTAATTTACTAATAGAAAATTTTAGCTTTTATACAAAAATGTCTCATCAATAAATGTATAAAAAAATTATCATTAGAATTGGAAAAAAATTGTTATTTTAAAATAATTAAAATAAATATTTATAAAATCATAGATATAGTGACAGGTGACGCAATAATGTAAATGTTGGAAGTAACTTCTTTTTAGTGGAATAATAAAAAAAAATTCTACACTTAAAATGAAATTAATTGACTCAAAGTAATACGTGACTCAACGTTTAAATCTATAGAAATCTAGGAAAAAGTTTTATTTCAAAAATTTATAAATTGAAATCGATAAAAGTGATCGATTATCGAAATTTTATTATTTTGTTAAATTGTTATTTTATTTAAAAATTAACATATTTTAAAATCGTAATTTGAGTCGATTAATAAGTAAAAAAAATTCTGTACTTTAAATGTATTTTAAAAAATTTGAAAAGAAGAGAAAAATTTGTGAAAATATTAAATTTAAAATAAACATATTTTAAAATAAGTAAAATAAATTCTACGCTTTAAATGTATTTTTAAAAATTTGAAAAGAAGAGAAAAATTTAGTGAAATATTAAATTTAAAATAAACATATTTTAAAATCGTAATTTAAAACGTAATTTGAGTTGATTAATAAGTAAAAAAAAATTCTATACTTTGAATGTGTTTTAAAATATTTTAAAAAAAGAGAAAAATTGAGGATAGAGTATAGTATTACGATAGAGTATAGTAAAAATTACCAATTGGGCAACTTTGAGCATGCCAGGCTTATTCCGGAAGTAATCCGTATTAATATCATTGAGAGTGAATCCTGGATTTTGTCCAGGTTCTGTCTTGACTGTTGGTACCTGACGAGGATTATTCCCCGTGGTATGAGTTGTAGTTTCGTGAACTGTGACCACAGTTTCCGACATCATGCTTCTTTTGATGTGTATAAAATTTAGTTTTTTTTTTAAATTTTTAAATTAATCCTTGCGCACAATTTTTTGCACAATATATATATATTTTTTTTTGGTTTTTAGCGAACTGTGAATTCACAGGAAGCACTTTTTGTAAAATTTATTAAATTATTATTTATTTATTTATTTTTTTGGGAAATTTTAACGCGCGTAATTTGAACGATATTTCGCGGGAATATGAATTTTAAAAAAAGAGTTCACCGGGTTATACAGTTATGGGACACCTGTTAGATCACAATTGAGAACAATTCAGACACAAACCGCTACAGCGGCAACACCACTGCATACTAAGGCATGAAGGTGTAGCTGATCCGCTACTTTTGCCCCGAACTCCACGTGCCCCTCATCAGTACTTTTCAATTCAGTGACGGCTTTCAGTTTCTCTGTACCCTATTTTTCTTTAGATTTTCAGTGAAAATTTAGTTAGAAATCTGTTTATATGGTTTTTTAAATTAATTTTTATTATTAGTTATGCTGTTATTTAATTAATAATAATTCGAATTTTGCTAAGTTGATGAATAACACTAAATTAATAATAACATTAATTTTATTATTAATTTAAGTTTATTTAGTAATTTAGTAAAATTTGAATTATTAATTAATTGAAATAATTTTAAAAAATAATAAATTTTGCTAAACTACTAAATTAAACTAAATTAATTTAATTAATAAATTAGTTTATTTAGCAATTTAGGAAACTTTGAATTATTATTAATTAAATTAAACAATTTTAAAAAGTAATTCAGCTGAATTGCTAAGTAAAACTAAATTAATAGTAAAATTAGTTTTATTATTTATTTAGTTTTATATTTAGTAATTTATGATAATTTTTGTTTTATTATTAGTTTAGTCTTATTTAGCGAAACTAATTTTATTATTAATAATTTAATAACTAAATTAATTTTGCTAAACTGCAAAATAAAACTAGTTTTGTTGATAATTAATTAATAAAATATTAAATTATTAATAAAACTTTTTAAACTTTATTATTAATTTACTTTTATTTATAAATTTTGCAAAATTAGTTTTAATACAAATTAATTATGCAATAATAAAATCGTTTTATTATTATAATTAAATTTATTCTGCAATTTTTAGCAAAAATTAGTTTGGTTACTAAGTAATTAAATTTCGTTAATAATTGACAAATTGTAAATATTTGATAATTTACCTAAATAATAAAACTAAGTTTGTTACTAATTTTTTTTTATTAATTTTTCTTCATTTTTATTTTATTTTATTAATAATTTACTTTTATTTATCAATTTAGCAAAATTAGTTTCATTATTAATTAATTAAACAACAATAAACTCGTTTTATTATTAATTTAGTTTTATTTAGAAATTTAGCAAAATTAGTTTTGTTATTATTAAAATTACTAAATTTCTGAATTTGAAAATATTTGCTAATTTTCCTAAATAATAAAACTAGGTTTATTATTACTAATTAATTTATTAATTAGTAACAAAATTAGTTTTGTTATTAATTAATTAATTATTAATTATTATTAATTATTAATTATTAATTAAACTAATTTTCTTTAATTCCTAATTAAAACTAGATTTTTTATTTATTATATAATGAATGAATTATTAGTAATAAAACTAGAATTATTTAGTCACTTAACAAAATTGTCAAATAAATGCAATTTACCAATGTAGTAAAATTTATTAGTTAATTAATTAATTACCTAATAAGAAAACTAATTTTGCTAAATAAAACTAGTTTCATTATTAATTAATATTAATTATCTATAATATAATAAAACTACAATTACTAAATTGATAAAAAAACTAGTTTTGTTACTAATTTATTAATTTATTAATTAATTAGTTATTAGTGAAACTAATTTTCCTAAATTGCTGAAAAACTAGTTTTGTTATTAATTAATGAATTAATTATTAAAAAAGCTAGATTTATTAATAACAAAACTAATAATAACATTTAATAAAACAAAATAAACAACAAATTTTATAATTTATAATTTATATTTAAAATAACAATTAATGAAACTAAAAAATTCATAAAAATAATTTAATAAAGGGATTTTTGAAAATTTAAAAATTTCCCGCCAAAATGGTGGCGCTGCGGTTGCAAGCTAAAGCGCAGTCGCAGAATCTAGCAGAAAGGTTTCTGTCGTTTCTGTTTATTAGTGTTTGTTGGCCGTTTAATTGGTGTATTATTATTTTTGTTTTTGATGAAAAAAATAGTGTTTGTCGAAAAAGTAAGTGATAAATTTTTTAATTTTGAATCGATTCAAATTGCTTGGCCATTATTTTCAAAATAAAAGTTTTTTGTGCATTTAAAAAATTAAAGAAATCTTCTACTTTGCGTACTGTTTACATTTTTTGAGGTTAGGAATTCAAAAACTTGATCGTTACATTGTACTTTAAAAAGTATTGTTTTTGTTTTTAGAGGAATTAAAGAATACACAAAATAATTAATGATCATCTGCAATCTAAAACTTTTAAGATGTCGGTTTCGAAAAAGCTTAAGGAATGGTATATTTCCATTGAATCTCATAAATTTGAAGGTATCGCGGATGCAATAAAGGTAAAATAAATTCTATATGTATTAATAGTCAAAAATTCGTAGTCAATAGTTTAGATAGTTTAATAGTAAATTTATATTTTACTTAATAAACTAATTTGATAAATTTGTTTTTATTTTGTTTAAAAAATTGAAAATAAACATTTTTAATATCTAAATTGAAAGTTTTTTTTGAAAATTGAAATTGATTTTAACAGGAGCATCTACCAGTGGCAAATCCAAAATACAATAATCAAATTGATAGTTTGGTAACACGTTTGACACGTTCTTATATGGACTATCATGATAAAAATAAAGGCGACGTTAAAACTGGTCTTGAAATCTTTGAATTGACCTGTAGTCTTTGCGACAGGTTCACTGAATCCAGTAATCCACCAAGATTGCGTCCTGGCATTTTTCACATTACTCGATGCCTTCGTGAATTAAAACTTTATTCCGAATCCCAAATAATATGCAATTATATAATGCCAGGGAAAATTTTTTCCCCCGATGTACAAGATGTGGATTATTTTGTAAAATTTTCTCAAGCATGGCGTCAAAGCGTAGACATGGAAATAAAAGCCCTCTCATCAAAATTCGATCTAATGAATTATGACGTCCTTTTGGAAATGATAAAATTTGATTTTCAACTACTGAAATTCGCCGATAAATTAGAAAATCATTCGAAAATTTTATTTGTAAGAATACAAACATACATTGATCAAATAATAAAATCTGATAGAGAATGGACAGAGAGTAAAATTCTAACATTCCTTAATTATATGGTTGAACATATTAGAAGTCTACAAGATAATTCGAATTTGGAGATTAATCCAATTAATGTTTATCCTGAAATCATTGATATAATGCACTGTTTATGCATGAAAATGATGAAAGCTAATAAAATAAAGGAACTCTCGAATTTTGTAATTGAATGTGCGAAAAAATTTGAAATTTTTATTAAAAGTAATATTGAAGTAAGAAAATCATTTCTATTACATCTTGATTATTACAAAGTTTTTTTCAAACCTGTCGTTAATTTTGATGAAGACATGTTTAAAGAAATTTCCAATTACAAATGCCGATTTGAAAGTAGATTAAAAAAGTTTGGTCCGACAAATCTTTTTAAAGCAAATTCATTGGAAATCAGTAAAAGTCTCACGACATTATTCAATTATTGGTTAAAATGTATGAGTTGTTGTAAAACAGAATATTTCAATAAGATATTTTTTGAAATTGTTGAACTCGTCAATCATTCAGCATCGCTTCTTGCGAGACAACGTATAAGATTTTGTAAATGCGATTTGACAGTTTGCACAGCAAAGTACAATACCTACGAGCAAATAAATATTATTCAAAAATGTGGAGTATTTATTTGTATGATTGATAAAAAAGAATTAACCGCTGATTTAGTAAAATTCAGCTGTAATTTTATAAATGAAATTATTGTCGCGATTTATGAGTATAAAGAAACAAAATGTGGATTGTATTCTCATCTTTGGTCAACGTGTGGTCAAGTTATGTACAATTTTGGTCTCTTGACGTGTTTGGATTTTCTCGATGAAAGCGCAGAAATGATGGCAAATCTCCTTTCATTCATTATTCAAGAGTATGGACTTGAGTGTAAAAATAATTTTCTTCGTACGCCGAATCCTTTATCGTTGGTGTTACATAAATTAAGTGGTGTTTATTATCGAGCTGAAAAATACAGAGAAGCGATGATTGTCACTGCATTCAATGGATTAATAAGTTACGACGAAGATGAAGCAAAGGCATTTAAAATGTGGGCAAGTATAAAGCATAAATGTAAAACAGAATCGGAGGATATTGTTAAAAAAACAATGATAGCTTGTTTAAAGCACGATAAAGATACTATCAAGGAACTTGGAGTGGAAATTCAATTAAATGATTATAATTTGGTGAAACTTTGTATGAGAGAAATTCAAGGATTACAAAATGCAAAAATAAGTCTAACAGAGGCGATAAAAGCAAGTTTAAAAGAATTGAATGGCTTGAGAAAAAATACAATGGAATTTGTCGAAGGTGTTCAATATTTGGGTTATCATATGATTTATTTTCGTGATGATTGTTCAATTCATGAATATTTAAAGAAGGCTGAATGTTATTTATCAACATTTGATCAAAAATCCATCTATAATTTTTGTCTGAGGGCTAATTTAAAATTTTTTCAACTCATGGAACAATGTAATGTAACTAGTAAAAAAATTAAAGAGGATATAAAGAAGGCAAAAAATATTTTGCAAAAGGATAAAAATCAAAATCATGATGAGACTATTGAAGTTGATGAAGTGGTTCCAGTTTATAGGACAATTAATATGAAACACGATCAACAAATTGCTTTGGAATTGGAACAAATTTTGCAAAGATGGAAAAAGTTATTCGCTAAAGATCCGGTAGGTTAAAAATTATACCAACATTATTATAAATTTTATTCACAATAAAATAGAAATTAATTTATGTTTCATTACAGAAGGTAATTAATAATTGCTGGGAGCCTAAAATTACTCTCGAGATAATAATCATAGCCGGAGAAGTTGCACGATTGTATTTATCTCAAGAAAACGAGAGACAAGCTTGGTTACTCGCTTACGAGTTAGCTACCGTCCTGCAAAATCATACTGCTTGTATATATGGTACTAATTATTCTATTTTATATTCTATTTTATATTTCATTTTTATTTTATTCCTTTAACGAATTTCTTTTCTATTTTCTAGTGACTGCCAGGAGTATTTCTCTTCGATACATAAATGAAAATTGGATAAAGAAAGCTCACGAATATGCAGTTTCATTAAAAACATCAGATGATGAAAGTAAAAGTGTCCTGGGCATGTTTTGGACGAATTTAGCTGATTTTTATTTTGAAACAGGAAAGGTGAGTTTTTTTAGATAAAATTTGTAAATAATTACTTATGGTATAGGGCTCGCACTAGGTCCGTAAATTTGCTTCAAGTCCAAGAGCTTTATTTACAATATTCAATTTTACGAAATTTCAATTATTCGTAAATTCTTCAATTAAATATATATTAGAAAATAAAAACTTCAAATACTTAATATAAAAAAAATCAATTAATCTTTTTCAAAAAAATTAAGTTCAAAATTTAATTATTTCTAAAAATTTACGCTATATATTCAAGCTTTTAATACCTGTTCAATTATTATCTAAAATTTTAACTTAAATTCATTTTTAAATCAATTTTTATTAGAAAATTCTACCAAATTCAATTATTTATATACAAAAAAACAATTTATTGAATAATTGCTTATTTCTTAAAATTTAATTCTCATCAAGAATTAAGAATATGTAATTACATTTTTAATGAATTCGATTAAAATTGTATTAAGAATAATTACATTTTTAATGAATTCGATTAAAATTGTATTAAGAATAATTGAAATTTTGCAATGAGTTTTATTATTTATGAAAATTATTGAATTCTTAAAAAGAATTTTATTGTTTACGAAAATAATTGAATCCGTGTAAAGGTTTTATTATTTATGAAAATAATTGAATGATTGCGAAGAAATTTATAAAAAATTTGTAAATAATTAAATTCCTGTAAAATTTTGATTATTTTATGAAAATAATTAAAGGTTTGCGTAGAATTTTATTACAAAATTTTTTAAATAATTGAATTTTTTGAGCAAATTTAAAAAAATTTAAAATAATAGAAACAACTATTTATTAGTAAAATTTGCTAATTCAAAAGCAAAAAGTTAGTCACTAATTCAAATTAGATAACTTTTTTACTAATTCAAATTTAGAGAGTTTAATATTCAATTATTATCTAAAATTTTAACTGAAATTCATATTTAGATCAATTTTTATGAGAAAATTTTAAGAGAATGCAATTATTAAAATACAAAAATAAATAATTTATTGAAGAATTGAATGTTTTTTAAAATTTAACTCCCATAAAGAATTTTAACAACAAATTTTTAAATAGGTAATTAAAAATCTTTTGACGAATAATTTTAATTTTCGAGAAATTAGATTAAAATTGTATTAAAAATAATTGAATCTTTGTAAAAAATTTGATTGAATTGAGGAAAATTTTTGAAAATAATTGAAATTTTGTCAAGATTTTATTAAAATTTTTGAAAATAATTGACTTTCTGCAATAATTTGTAATTTCTCTAAAAAAAACTCGAAAAAAAAAATTGTCAAAATTTCGATTAAATTCAGAAATATTAAAATTCTTCTCCGAAATTCAATTATTTACAGAAATTTTCCTCAATTAAATGATCTTCAATATTTATTATTTTAATAAAACTTTCCAAAATAATTTAATTTTTATTTTAAATAATTTGATAAAATTCTACCCAAAAATTTAATTATTTTCACAAAATAATAAAAATTTCACGGGAATTCAATTATTTACAAATTTTTTATAAATATCTTCGCAATAATTCAATTTTTTTAATAAATAATATAAAATTTTTACAGATTTAATTATTTTCGTAAATACTAAAATTCTTTTTAGGAATTCAATTATTTTTAATACAAATTTAATCAAATTCCCCGAAAAATGTAATTATTCTTAAAAATTTCATTAAAATTCGTCAAAATAATTTACCTATTTATTTAAAAATTTGTTGATAACATTCTTTAGGAGAATTAAATTATAAGAAACATTCAAATATTCAATAAATTATTTATTTTTGAATTAAAATAATTGAATTGTTAACAAATGAATTTGAAAATTCTCAAAGAACTTTTTCAAAAATTATTATAAATAATGGATTTAAAAAAGATTTCTAGTTAAAAAAATTTTTTAAAATTTAATTTTTGAGAAGTTAGAAATTTTTGCAGAAATTCAATTATTTTCATTAATAACAAAATCTTTTACAGGGATTTAATTATTTTTATAAATTATAAAATTTTTTACAGAGATTTAATTATTTTCGTAAATAATATATTTCTTTGTAGAAACTCATTAATTTCATAAGTAATAAAACTAATCTCAGAATTTCAATTATTTTTAATACAATTTTAATCGAATTTCTCGAAATTGTAATTATTCTTAAAAAATTGTATGAAAATTCGTCTTAAGAATTTAATTATTTAAAAATTTATTTATAAAACTCTTTATGAGAATTGAATTTTAAGAAACATTCAATTATTCAATAAATTATTTATTTTTGTATTTAAATAATTGAATTCTAGTAGAATTTTCTAAAAAAAATTGATTTAAAAGTGAATTTCAGTTAAAATTTGAGATAATAATTGAATATTAAAAGCAATATAGCGTGAATTTTAAGAAATAATTGAATTTTGAAATTAATTTTTTTGAAAAAGTTTAATTGCTGATTATTTTTTGAATTATTTGAAGTTTTTATTTTTCTAATATATGTGACTGTCCACGAGAAAACAAGGCTTAGGTCCAAAAAATCAATTTTGATTTTTTTATGGTAATCGACAGATTTTATGTTGCTTTTTTAAATGCAAAAGTCAGAAGTTAAAAATATCAATTACTTTCGACAATATATCGTTTTAAAGATGGGTATGTCAAGCGTAGTTAACTTCAATCGTAGTACTTCAATCGCTCGCCCTGTGAAATTCACGTTTGGGAGCTAAGCCTTGTTTTCTTGTGGACAGTCACATATATTTAATTGAATAATTTATGAATAATTACAATTCCGTAAAATTGAGTATTGTAAGCAAATGGATTTGAAAATTGTCAAAAAGAAGTTTTTCGAAAATTATTAAAAATAATTGATTGAAAGAAGACTTATATTTTTGTCAGTAATAATTGGTCGGTAATTTTTCTATTTTTGTCCGTATTTTTAAATACATTTACTAGTTCGAGCCCTGATGCTATAGAATTTGTTTAAAATTCCACTTTTTTTTGTTCGAAGGTGAAAGAAGCAGTTACTTTAATGAATAAAGTGAAAAATTTGGATACTGTTAAACTAACAGGAGATCCTGGAGTTTATTTGGATTATATGGATACAATTATAAGAAATTATCAATTCTACTCTGAGAAAGCGGAGCAAGAAGAGTATTCCGAATTTCTTGTTCATCATGTATACTCCATGGTTTCTGTAAATGGAACTTTCTCCATTGGAGGTAAATTATTTCGACCACAGTATTTTTTTCACAGTATTTTTTAATAAAATAAATTTTCATAATTCTTGAATCATACTTTTTGCAGGAAAGAAAATGTACTACGGACTGAATAATCTGCTCGATGGTGTAAACAATATGTCATTGATAAAATTAAATTTCATTTCATTTAGAGAAATATCGGCACATTTAACACTTCGACTAGAATTGGCGCAGTCACTTGGAGCAACATTACGTGTTGCTGAATGTCTCAAGTCACTTTGCTACGTTGACTTGAAACGATGGAAATTGGATGATTGTGAAGTAAAACTTCAGGGTATTGAACAAATTCTCGATGTTGAGGCATTTGGATTATCAATGAAAACGAAATCCAATGAATTTAGGGATGAACGTGCAAATACAATTTGTTCTTCGCGTCGAATGGATGTCGATGATCCTGTTCGCGATGTAATGGAAGATAATGCATCGCCAATTCTTCGAAAGAAAATTTTTGTACCTCCTGAATTTATGCTTCATGACAAATGCGAATGCTATCGGTGTTTAAATATTCCCTATCAGCATTTAATTTTCTCCTGTACATTTATTCGTGCACAAATGTACGCTTTGAAGAAATATTCTTTATTGGCATTGCAACATTATCAAGGTGCATTGGATGTGAGAGCGAAGGTATTGGCGAGGGAGAATAAAAGAATTCTCAAGAAGAATGATGATAAATTCGGAAAGTATTATCATTGGAGGAAGTATTACACGACGGTGGATTATGTTATGATGTTAATTGACTTTAGTAAATTTCTCATGTATCACGAAACAGAACCAAGGGAAATGGATGCTATGGAAATTGCTTTTGAAGCAATCAACATTTGTCAGAAATACAATTTACAAACTCATCCAGTGTTCACTGCCGCGAATGAACTTTTATTTTCCTATCGTTTACAAAAACTCGATCCATCTTTTAAAGGTAAGGAAAAAAATTTTTTGTTTGAGAAAAACAATTGATTGGATTTTGATAAATTTCTTTTTGCAGGTTTTACAGTTCCTGATGTCGCTGATATTGATACTTCTGATTTGGTTGATCAGCAGAAAGATGTTTGTACAATGAAATCTTGTGCGACACCGTCTCATTCGAATGATTTGCCACTGAAGGGCGTACATAGAAAGAAAACACCACCACTTTTACCTTTGAGAAAAGTTCATATGAATTTGAGTGACAGTGAAGATGAAGAATTATCATCGACGAAGGAGAAAAAGCAAACTAGAAGAAGACGACTTATAATTGTCGATGAGGAATCATCACAGTCGGAAACTGATAATGCAACATCTATTCCACCACCAATTTTAAAGTTACCAGAAAAATCATCGTCGAGACGAACGAAGAAAATTGTCGTCGATGAAATTGATACAATAAGTGACTCTATGACGAAAGTTTCCATTACTTCGGCAACATCTGATTTGAGTGAAGAAGCACAAAGTAAACGTTATACATGGAGGAAGAAGGTTGCAGTTTCAGCGCCCGAAGACAACTCTATTCCCTCTACTTCCTCGGAAATTAACCCACTAAGTGACTTTGGAAAAAAAATTACCATTTCTTCGGCGTCAACTCAAGTCACTGGAGAATCAAAAAATAAACGATTGTCATCGAGAAATAAAGTTGCAGTTTCAGCGCGAAGTGAATCATCAAGATCGAAAACGAAAAAAGTGCCTGAAGACAACTCAATACCTTCTACTTCTGCGACAAGCGAAAATAAACGATTGCCAACTGGAAATAAAATGTCAACTTTAATTGCTACGTCAGATAATGAAAGTCTACCGAACAAACGACTGTCATCTAGAAATAAAACCACAAAATCAAAAGCTGTTGAGTCGAAAGAGAAAAAATTGTTATCGACTGATGAAGCAGAATTCTCTGGCGACTCACTTTCTTCCACTTCGTCAAGTGTTGGAAATTCGCAGAGGAGAAGCAAAAGATTGGCTACCAAAGATGTTAAGAATAATGAAAAAGGCTTCAGTTCAGATAGATGCTCATCGCCAGATCTTTTTCTAACGGATGATGAATTTAGTTCAAAGAAATAAAAAGAATATTATTAATAAAATTCCATCGGTTAAAGAATTTTATTTTTAAAAAATAGGTATTAGTGTTAGATTAAATAAGTAAACTGAAACAAGAGACAATAAAAGTAATAATAGTTGAAATATGTTTAAAAGTTAGTAAATTGAAAGAATAGTGTAAATTCAGAGATCTTAGAGTTATTTCAGAAATAGTGATATAATTGAAGGGCTACATAAAATAAGGGGACGAACGCGTGGTTGAAAGGGATAATATCAGTCAGGTAGCAGCGAGCGGCTCAAGGCTTGTCACTGCTACCCGACTGGTACTATCCCTTCCAAGCCTCGCGTTCGTCCCCTTATTTTATGTAGCCCTTCAATTATAATTTTATAATGAAAATATAAATATTTTTCCTTTTTATTTATATTCTCATTCATTCATTTTTTGATTCCATTTATAATGAGATAATTCTTGTGCCTTAAAGAGGTAAAACTGTTACCGAATCAAATAATTTCGATTACATATATAAAAATACCATCAAATGTAAATATTTGTATTTTAGATTACACCTATAGAAATAAGTTTTTGTTGATTTCAAGAAATCATTTGCTTTGACTTGTTTCTTTGATTGAAAATTAATTTTTCTTTAATTATAAGAAAATTTTTTATTCAAAAAAATTTCTTTGAATTACAAACTATTTGCGTCAAAAAAATGTTGCTTTTTAAATTAAAGAATTATTTCTTTGAAGAGTTAAAGAAATTTTGTTTTTTAAATTAAAGAATTATTTCTTTGAAGGATAAAAAAAATTCCCCTTTTTAAATTAAAGAATTATTTCTTTGAAGAGTTAAAGAAATTTTGTTTTTTAAATTAAAGAATTATTTTTTTGAAGGGTTAAAAAAATAATTCACATGAATGATAAAATTTCTTTGATTTAGAGAGCAAATTTCTTGGATTCAAAGAAAATTTGTTCAAATAAAAAAAAAGAAGTTTGAATTAAAGAAATTTCCTATGAATAAAAACCCTCTGCTTGTTTTTTAAAAAAAAATTATTTTGAATGAAACAAAACGAGTTTAAGAAACTGATTTCTTTGAATTAGTAAAAACTTTCTTCTGGCTGTGTAATTGCGATTAAAATTTAAATAACTTTATTTTATTACATTATTCTTTTCCATTGTTGTTGTAAATATACAAGCAAGACTGATGTCAATTAAATAAGGTTTTTCTAGAAAATACAAAGTTGAATAAGTTTCTTCCAAATATAAATATTATTTTTAAAGGAAGCATTATAAATAATATTTTGTTTTCTATTTTTATATATAAAAGTGTAATAATGTAACATTTATAATTAGTTATAATAAATTATTTTTCGAAAAAGAATTCAAATTTTTCATTAATTAACTTCTTTATCCTAAAGTTTGTTTTCATCATTTACGATTATTCATTTATAGAATTTTCCACTAAAATTCTCCTTTTTTAAGTCAATTTCTTTAAAATAATGTTTGAAAAAGTTCTTAGTGAATTATCAAATTCTTCTGTTTACAATTAAATTTTACGAAATTTCGATTATTCTGACATTCTTCAATTAAATACATTGTAAATTAAAAACTTCAAATAATTAAAAAAAATTCTATTAAACTTATTGGGAAAAATTAATTCTTTAGAATTCTTAATTAAAAGTATGAAAAGTTCAAATTTTCAAAGATTTTAATTTGAAATTAATTTTTAAATCAATATTCATTAGAAAATTCTAAGGGAATTCAATTATTTAACTAGAAAAATAAATATTTTATTAAACAATCGAATGTTTCTTAAAATTGAATTTTCATAAAGATTTTTATCAACAAATTTTTAAATAATTGAATTCTCATGATAAATTTTAATAAAATTTTGAAAAATAATTGTATTTTTCGAGAAATTTGATGAAAATTATATTAAAAATAATTGAAATTCTGTCAAGAATATTATTAAAAGTTTTGAAAATAATTGAATTTTGGAGAAAAATTTTATTATTTATAAAGATAATTGAAATTTCGGAGAAAAATTTTTGTAAATTTTTAAACATAATTGGATTTCTGCGAGGAATTTTGTTAAAATTATTTTGAAAAAAATGGAATTGTTGCGCAAAGAATTTCATTAAAATTTTTGAAAATAATTTTATTCTTTAAAAAAATTTAATTAAAAATGTATTGAAAATAATCTTAAATTCTAATAAATAAATTGTAGCAAAGGTTATTAAAATAATTAAGTTTCTTTGATAAATTTTAATAACAATTTTTAAGAATAATAACTTTTTCGGGGAATTTGATTAAATTTGTATTAAAAATAATTAAATTCCTAAAAAGAATTTTAGTATTTACGAAAATAATTGAATAATATATGAAAATAATTTGTAAATAATTGAATTCTTGTGAAATATTTATTATTTATGAATATAATAAATTAGATTAGTTTTTTTTCTAATCTAAGTTTTTTTATATTTCTAATTAAATTCATTTAAAATTGAAATTTTACAAACTTTTAAATCAAAATCTTTTGAAGTTTATCTACTTATGAAAATGTAAACGCAATTCTTTTAAAATAATTGAATTAATTTTGAAATATTTAAGTGAAATTAAATTTAAAGAATAAACACAATAACTTTCGAAAACATCAATTTTCCAGGATTTCGATCAAAATTCCCTGACTTTTCCAGGTTTTTCAAGGTTTATAAAATTTCCTGACATTTCCAGGTTGCGTAACAACCCTGGAAATAATATTTTTTGATTGGAAAAATAAAAGAATTGATTTTAGCCTAACAGCATTTATTAAAATACGAGATATTTACATTCGTCGTAAAAGAAGAAAAATTACTACAATAACTATAGTACTATTTTAAAAGAGCTACCATAAAATTTTGTAATCTTGAAAATTAATTACTTAATAATAATAGAGGTCGTTTATTATTTATTTTATTTTTTTTAAGTATTCTTTATATTTTTATCAAAAACTTTCATAAATAATGACTAATTAATTTCATTTTAAATACTTTATAAACTCAAATTTTTCATATTTTTTCTGCAAAATTTGCTGTTCTTATGAAATCTCTATTCTTTATTACTAAGTATCACACAAAGGTCCTTTTTACACATTTGTCGTTTTATTGACTTAAAAAAAACATTAATAGAAATGTCATAAGTTTGCTCATTAATTAAAATAGAATATTCCACAAATAAAAAAATTCTGCACGTTTTTCAAATTGTAAAAAAATAATAATATGGCAATATTATAAACAATTATGACTATAAATTTAAATACGGAAATTCTTTTTCTAAATTAAAATTATTTCTGAATAATTTCATTTAATATATTCTATTTATATATTAAAAATTGGGAAATTATTCTAATTTCACGTATTTAGAGCGGTAATTTTTTATTTAGTTATAAAAATGTTTTAAAAATGATTTAAAACGACCAAAAATTTGAAAACCCGTCTTATTCGTAATGTACTTGATTACGAATGATAAAAAGAAAGTATTAAAAAAAATCGAATGACTTAAAAAGAATCACAGTTCGATTTATAAATTTGTATAATTAATTCTATCGCAGGATTCTCTCTTTATTTTAGTGAGAGCACGTACAGCCTCTTCTTCTTGAGCCTTTGCCAATTCCATGAGTGCCAATGCACCGAGCCATTTTTGATTATCCTCGGGAAATTGTATTTTCACAACTTCTTCTTGGGGAATAACGACAACTTTTGCATCGTTATTGTTGAATCTCGATGTTGGCGATTGTAGATTATTTTTATTGCAAGCTGAACCAGCGAGCATTAATACAGTCGGTCGTGTTTCGTTTTCAGTGCGGGTGATTGTATTGAGCATTGATTTATCCTCAAATTTCGATGACGAATGACATTGGGAATCATTGAGAAGATCATTTTGTATATTCATATTCCATGAGCTTGAGACTTCGCCATTTATTTCTTCGTGATGTTGAATGGCGTTTGGTCCATTGTTATTGTTTGTCAAACAGGCCAATGATTCGCAGGATGGTTCCCAAAATTCACGCTCCAAATTGCGTGAGGTTGATGTGACGCTACGGTTTTCCGTTGTATTCGTTGTGTCAGTGACAGAGACATTTGAAGCGACTCCCAGGTCCCAGCATATTTCATTTTCGATGTATGCGTCGGCGACTTTTATTTTTTCTTCTGGAAATAATTGAGAGAAATTTGCTTTAGTGATTTTTGTTTAATTTTGTACTTTTTGGATTATTTTCTTTGGAATTCTTTTATTATTAAATACTAGCAAATGTGTATTCCATTTCTTATTATTTTGTAAATTAAAAATTTTATATTTTCAAGAATAAACATCAATTTTTGAATGATTACAAATTTAAAATTATTATTATTCGAAAATTTTAATAAAATTTGTCGCAAAAATTTCATTATTCTCATGAATAATAAATTTCTTTAGAGCAATTCAATTATTTTCAATACAATTTAAATAAATATTCTTGAAAGAATACAATTATTTTGAAAAATATTAATTAAATTCGATTATTTTCAAGAATTTTAATAAAAATTCAATTATTTTCAACAATTTTGATGAAATTCTTTTTAAAAATTCATTATTTTCAAAATTTTTGAGAAAATTCCTTCAAAAAATTCAATTATTTTTGTAAAATTGTAAAATTCTTGTAAAGAATTCAATTAGTTTTGTAAATAATAAAATTCTTCTGAGAAATGCAATTTATTTTCAATACAATTTTAACTAAATTTCTGGAAAAAAATTCAATTATATTGAAGATAATTTTAATAAAATTTCTCTAACAGGTTCAATTATTTTCAAAAATAGTAATAAAATTTTTCTAAAGAATTCAATTGTTCTCGAAAGTTTTTAATAAAAATTCTTTTCAAAATTTTCAATTAAAATTACTTTAAAAATTACATTATTTTTACGAAATTTAATGAAATTATTCAAAAAAATGTAATTATTTACAAAAAGTAATAAAATTGTTTAAAACAATTTAATTTTCTATTGAATAATTATAACAGAATTTAATAGGAAAATCGTTAATTACAATTAATAATAAATACGATTATTTTAACAATTAAAGGAAATTCTTAAAATTCAATTATTTTCAAAATTGTCAGTAAAAATTATTAAAAAAAACTTCATTATTTTCAAGAAAATTGAAATAAATTCTTCAAAACAATTCAATTACTTTAAATAATTCTAAAAAAAAATCATGCCTAGAATTAAATTATTTTCAATACAATTTTAATTACATTTTCTTGAAAGAATTCAATTATTGAAAAAAATTTTGATAAAATTCTTGAAATGAATCCAATTATTTTCAAATTTTTTTACAAATAGTATTTACAAGAATTCAAGGATTTTCAGTAAATCGAAAATTTAATTTCTGAAATTAATTGGATTCTTGAATAGAATTTTATCATAACTTATTTTAAATAATTAAATCCCTGCAAAAAATTTATTATTTCTACAAATGATTGAATTTTTGAAAAATTTTAAAAAATATGTGAATTTTTTTGGAAGAATTGTATTAAAATTGTATTTAAAATAATTGAATTACAGAGAAAAAATTACTATTTATTGATATTATTGAATTCTTTCAAAGAATTTATAAAAAAATGTTTAAAAATAATTTAATTTTCCCTCGAATTCAATTAAAATTGTATTAAAAACAATTGAATTCCAGCGAAAATTTCATTATTTTTAAAAATAATTGAATTCTTGAATTGGATTTTATTAAAAGTTCTTTAAATAATTGAACTCCTATGGAAAATCCAATTATTCTTTAAAATAATTGAATTTTTTCGAAGAATTTTTAAAAGATTTTTAAAAATAATTGGAATTTTCGAAGAAATGAATTAAAATTGTATTGAAAATAAGTGAAATACTGATAAGAATTTTATTATATAAAAAAATTAGTTTTTTTATGAAGATTATTATTTATAAATTGACTAAAGAATTTTATTACAATTATGGAAAATAATTGAATTCTTCATAAAATTCAATTGTTTTCAAATTTTTTGATAAATACTTTACAAGAATTCAATGATTTTCCGTACATTAATTTTAAAATTGAAAACATTTAAATTAAGGAAAATTATTTAAAAAGATAGGAAACAAAAAAGAAAACAGCAACTAACTTCAAACTGCGAACAGATTACCAGATTATATTAATAATCGTTGTAACGATTATTAATATAGATTGTTGAAATATTATTGAATATGAATATTTTTTTTAATTGTTGAAAGAGAAGAATAAATACAAACCTGGGATGATTCCAGGAGAGGTTGAGGCGGAGAGACTCCATTCCTTTGAGAGATTGGTCGTGTCTTCGGTGTTGTGGAGTAGATTTAATTCAGTTGTTGAGTGAGGTGATAGAGCCGTGGAATGAACGTCCCATCTGAGGGGTTTAGCTAGTTGTTGCTCGAGACAGGCTTCACGAAGCCATCGTTTCTTTGGCTGAAGTCGATCGAGCGGTCGTCGAGGCGTTGTCGGCAATTTCATTGACGACGGTTCGTCATCCTCGGACATGTGTAGCATTGTACATGTTTCAATGGGATCCTCGTCTTGACTATCGTCGTGACTGTCCTGATTTTCAGCGCAATAGAGCCGTTTGTTTAGTGGCTTACGATCCAAGTTCTCCTGCTCGCCATTTGCGTCCATTATCAGGCCCTTCTTGAATTTTCCTCCACGTCGAAAATATTCACTGTTACCCTTCCAGGACTTTAACATTTTCTGTTCGCTCTTCCCTGTTGGAGTTCGATCTTCACGTTCACGTGATAGTCTGTAGCGCTCTAGCCAGCGAGCAACTTCCTGTGATAATTCACTATTTTCGGAGACGGGTTTTAATACGAAATCATCGGAACGTGTTAATGTTGCATAGGGATGATCGGGACAGTGACGATTTGCGTGTGTAAAACGCATATCACAACCTGGCTCAGTGCAAAGAAATGGTTTCTCCCCCGTGTGAAGTCGTTGATGGGTTTTCAGTTGGCCCGATTGAGTGAAGGCCTTTATACATCCTGGATAGTCGCAAGGATAAGGACGTTCACCTGTTGAAAAAAAACATTATTTAGTAAATTCATCCACAATTATTTAATAAATTGGTTTTTCGATTTTTGGAAGATGTATAAAAGGTAAAAGAAAAAATACTCTCTTTTACTTTTTTTAAAAATAGGCGTTTTTTTAATAAAAAAAACATTAATTAGAAAAAATACTGCATAGATTTCTTTTTTCCGACAAATTGTATTATTGTTATAAATCTCAGACAAAGACTTATTGCAAATAACGTTTTAATAAATCTTTATCTTTGATTTAATATTTTGCTATATTTTATTAGTTTCCATTCTTTTTTGTATTTTCCCAAACTTAACAAACGATTGATAAGAAATATTTTTCCTAATAGAAATAAAATTATTTCTCCAGAAAAATTTTTGTGATGATTGAAAAAATTGTGCAAAAATATTTTTTATAGACAAATTTATATAAATTGAAATAGAAAAAATACTTTTTCTACAAAATCATTGATTACAAAACGTGAACTTCTTCTTTTCTTAAATGCATAATTTTTCTATTTCGAACGTTCAAATGAACGAATAAAACATAATTATCAAAAATTACTGGTATCCGGAGAAGAAGTCCAAACCAAAAAAGTAAAAAAAAATAGTTTCACTTTGGTCTTATTTTTTGGATTTTTTGTTCTGGTGAAAAAGTCCAAATGAAAAACATTGAGATATAAAAATTTAAATGGTTGCCTTAAATGAAATTGTCCTTTTTTGAGTTCCTCATTTCGATGATTGCGTGAATTGAAAATATGTAATCTTAACATTTTAAATTTCTGAAAATAATTTAATTAATCTCGAGTAATTTAATTGGAATTACACTTATTGAAAAAAATAATTGAATTTTTGTAAAAAAATTTTCTCAAAAATTGTTGAAAATAATTGTATTTCTTGGAATAATTGTTTTAAAAATTTTATAGAATAATTGCAATTTTTCTAAAAATTTTTTTATGAATATAATTGAATTTTTGTGTAGAATTTCATTATTTATGTAAATAATTAAAATCCTGCGATTTTAACATTAACATTTAAAATTCCGATTTTATAGCAGAAAAAGTAAAAACGTGGCTTTTCCACATGTTTCATTATTTATTTTGGACATTTTTATTTATTTTTTGACTTTGGACATTTTTATTTTTAATTTTTTGTACTTTGGACTTTTTTTCTTGAATTTTTTTTCCTATAATCAAAATTACTAGAATAAAATGAAAAATAAAATAGAAAAGAAATTAATTTTATAAATTGTTTAAAAAAATATTACAAATTTTAAGAAAGTATAAAAAAATTGAAAGTTCGAATATTAGGGACATGATAAATATTGAAAATATTAAGGAAAATCGTAAAATTTTTTAAATTAGAAAAAAATAAAGATGAGAGAAAAAATGCTATTTTTTTAGACGCGCAATTTGAAGTAAAAACTTACATTCCAAAGTTTAGATTATCATGATTTTATCAGCTTTTAAAAAGTGTGATAAGACGAATTTTTTCTTCCGCTGCTTTTTTCCATTAGTTTAAAAATAAATTTCTACGTTAAATAAAAAATGCGAAAATTGTTTCTCTCTTGCAGAAAATATTATTTGGAAAATTAAAAAGACTTCGAGTCGCAATTTAAATTTTATTCTTCAGCCTTGATGAAATGGTTTCTTTTCGCGATAAAAATGATAAATGGCTTACAATTATAGAATAAAGCTATTTTTAAGCTACCTTAGAAGCAAATATTTAAATTTTATGTCAACAAACATTTATTTACTGATACTCTTTCTAATAAACTATGTATTATGGATTTTTTATTTTTTCCTTTTGGTAAAAATAGATTTTTTTTATTTTAAAACAAAAATAGAAAATAATTATTTTGGATTATGAAAAAATTTAGTAAAATTCTTACATTATATCGAAAATTCAATTATTGTTTTATTATTTTTTGTTTATTATTGTTTAAATTTGAATATCTATAAACAAAAATTGAAAAAACGAGAGTGTAATACAATTTTTTGGAATTTTCCATAGAATATTTTTTAAATTCCATTGTCTTCCTGTGCAAGGATTTCGAACAATGCACGTGCGCGTCCCCACCAATTCAGACATCTTACATCCCTTTATATATAATATCAGCTATATGCAAAAGAAATTTCACAAAATGGAAAATTTATGAAATACTCGGTTCCTTATTTGTTGAGAAATGAAATCGTATTGATTAAATTCACTTATTTGTTGTTAAAAAAAAGTTTCCATTCATATATTCGAAAATAAACAAAGATCTCGTGTTTGGAGTGAAATAAAGGAATTTAAAGTACGCATAATGGCGGTTGGCGGGACGCGAACACGCGATGTATACGTTCCATTGGATATTTTGCTATGATATTATAAATATATTTATTACAAAACGTGCAAATCTCAGAAATTGAGGAAAAAAATTACGTTTTATAAATATTTTAATTAAATAGAAAATTTAGTGATGGAAAATTGAATTTAGTAAATATTCTTTGTTCTTTAGAAAAAACATTTCTTTACTATTCTTGGTTTAATTTTATTTTATTTACCTGTATGAGTTCGTAAATGTGCTTGAAGGCTTTTTTCCCTTGGGAATACACGATTGCAAAAGGTGCATTTTATACTGCTTGGACTTGTGCTTCCTTGCATCATTAAATTTGAGAGAGCATCTGCGCGAGGACGTCCTCGACGATGATTTTCGGAGCTGTGATTCCTTGCATTTGGTCCATTTTGACCGGCAATATATTCTGGCGATGAACAGGAACTACCTGGACTTAAATTGAGATTTCTTGCTTCGTCGCCCCAATTCCAGGGGTAGAGCATCGTGTCGCACATGGGCGGGCTACAGGGTAACATCTCTGCCAAGACACGAGGTGCACGCTTTGGTGTGTGAAGTGCCATTTTTTTTTAAATTCCAGACACTTTACCACCTTTTTTAAACACTAACACACTGAGTTTAAGTCAACTTTTGCCTTCTATCCAAAAGAGAAATTTGTATATAACCTTTTTTCACCCAGCTACCGTTTAACACAGCCACATGCAACTGGTTAACCGCCAAATTTATTACGGCGTGGTTTCAGTAGAACCACTTCGCGATGCTGGGAATTTCCGGTTTTGGGAGCGCATGCGTAGTGGTGTGAGTGGACTGGACGCAACCTTCGACACTAGCGCCACGCATAGTTGTTTTGTGTCCTACTGTCGGTAAAGGGGAAATCGTTATATAGTAATTCATTTACCATCAGTGGATTTGTTTTTCTCTGAAGTTAGTCTATAGTTCATTGGCGCTTACTTTTGAAAAACTAGAAACAATAATAGTAACAATAGGTAATAATGAAAATAATAATTAAAAATATAAAAAGTAATTTTTAATATTAATTTGAAATATTTCCTCTAAGGGAACGTAATTAATAACATTTTAAATAAAGAGTTCTTTTATAAAATAAAAAACAACAGGAAATTATTATTAACAAATTATATTTAACGAAACTAGCAACAATTCGCTCGCTAAAGCGCGAGGCTTATTTCTTACTTACTTTTTAAAATAAAATTAGCAATTTTAAAAATAATAGAATTTAGAAATTTTTAATTCAAATTTTTGTTGAAAACACCAAAAGAATTCAAATTCAATTATCAATTACTATAATTCCTGTGGAAAAATAATAATATAGTTAAATATTTGTTTAAAAAAGAAGTTATTGATGTTTTCAAATAATTTTATAATTAAAGAAATTCATAAATAAATTTAATAGAGATGTGCGAATAGTTCGAATTCGAACTATTCAAAGATTTCGAATCAACTATAGTTCGTATTTGAATCTAAATTTTTTTATAAAAATTAATTATAAATTATAATTATTAATTATAAAAATTTTTTATTATAAAATATTTTTTTTCTATTCTGTATCGAAAAACAACAGATACGTATTTTTTTTACTTTTGTTTAATTGTCCAAATTTTCGAGTTATGAATTTTCGAAATTTTGGGCTTGTAATTGTGGATCTATATTCAGTAGCTTATAAGTCCGAAAATATTGAGTTTATGAAAAAGTTGTCAAATAATGAAAGTTTTAGTTTTCTTTCGATTTTTAAGAAATGTAAACAAAAAATTTTTTTTTTAATTTTTTATTAACAAAAATTTTTTTTTACAAACATAATAATTTTTTTTAACTTTGGGCCGGAATTTTTTTATTTTTTAAAATTCATTTATACCTTATAATGTAGAGAAGATTTTCCAAACAGTCTCAAAATGGACATGATGTGTCAAATGAGTTTTAAAACATTCTCAAAAATCACTTGCAAGCATCACAGTGGGATTTTTTTTACAAATAACTTTTTAAAACTGTCTACAGCGTAGAACCTTTACTTTAAAACAAAGAACACTCAAATAGATGAAAAATTATACATTGTAGACACTTTTATAAAGTTAATTGTAAAAAAATCCCACTGTGATGCTTGCAAGTGATTTTTGAAAATGTTTTAAAACTCATTTAACACATCTCGGGACTTTTTGGAAAATCTTCTCTATATTATAAGGTATAAATAAATTTTTAAAAAATAAAAAAAATCCGGCCAAAAATTAAAAAAAATTAATTTGTTTATAAAAAAATTTTTTGTTTACATTTCTTAAAAGTCGAAAGAAAACTAACACTTTCATTCTTTAAAAACTTTTTCCTAAAATCAATATTTTCGGACCTATAAGCTACTGAATATAGATCCACAATTACAAGTCCAAAATTACGAAAATTCATAACTCAAAAATTTGGACAATTAAACAAAAATAAAAAATACGTATCTGTTTTTTTCGATACAGAATAAAAAAAAATATTTTTGGTCGATTTTAAGAGGTCGACTAAAATCTCACGTGGAATTGCCCATATGTTAATATTTGAATAAATGAAAAATAAAATATGTTTATATTTATATAATATAACTATAATATTAACAAATATTACTTTATTTCACAATACATTGATTTGAAATAAATTCGAATTCAAATCGCCATTCGATTCGATTCGAAGTAATTTTATCGCATTCGATTCGAGACCTAAATTCCTGATTCGCACATCTCTAAAATTTAAAAGAACATTTTTTGGACTAAAATTTTCTCCTTTATTTTTAAAAAATTTTTAAAGTTTCAATTCAATTTTCAATTAAAATTTGTAATTGACAAATAGAATTTATAAAAATTTTTTTCCTTTATTTTTAAAAAGCTTTGAATTTTATTAAAGCAATTGAAATTAGGAAATAAAAAAGATGTAAATTATTTCCTTATAAAAAATTAAGAATTTTCTACAAAAATATAAAGATATCTATAATGTTTTTCTTCCCAAAAGAAAAAAATGAGCTTGTAATCAATATTTTTATTCCGAAATAAAAATTATGCATAAGATAGGTATATTTTCTATTTTTTAATCACACGGAGAGAGAATATATATTAAATTTTGTAAAAATATTTTCAAATTGGGGAAAAAGTGCGACAAAGCGAAATTTTGATATAAAAAATACTAAACTTTAAAACAACTTATGTGAAATTTAGTATAATTATATCAAATATCAAGAATATTAATTAAATTCTAATATAAATTTAATAAATTTCACAAAACTTTTTTTAAAGTTTAGTATTTTCTATATAAAAATTTCGCTTTGTTGCACTTTTTCCCCAATTTGAAAATATTTTTACAAAATTTAATATATATTCTCTCTCCGTGCATAATTTTTTATGTTTGTAAGATAAAATCATCAAAACATTCCCAAATCTTTATCCTAGCCCATGCACGCAATAATATAAACTTCGGGCACCTTTCAAGCTTTATTTTGGTTGCATTTTTGAAATAAGAGCACAGTAAATTGTGAGGTATTAGAAAGTGTTGCAGATTAAATTAACATCAAAAAGGATTAAAATATAATCCATTTTAGTGTTATTTTCTACTATGAATGAAATCTTATTTCAAATTAAAACCAAGTCAACGATTACAAATAGTAAACTAACAAACTCACTAATTAACTTAGTTACGAACTAACCAACTTAGTAACTAACTAACTTACTAACTAACTAACTTAGGGGCCATCCACATATTACGTCACACTTAATAATAAGTTACTAATTATGACTAGTTATTTATTATATAGGTATATATATATATCTCCCCACTATATGAAAATAATTCGCGGCCGTCGCAGTGTCAGGATTTTTTTTTTATTTTTTTTTAACAAAATATAGGTCTGTTTTAACATATTTTTTGACCTATAGGTCAAAAAGAGGCCCAAAAACGGCCTTACATTACGTCAAAATCTATGTGCAAATTGACATATTCTTTGTCCTGCTTGTGATTTTACAATACGTTAAAATCTTTCTTCAACAGAAAACAATTATTTATGTACGTCATGTAAAGTTGGCACTAATTTCATAAAAAAACAGTTCAATAACGAATATTTAATTAGATCTAATGACTGACAAAAAAAAAGCGACATTAAAAAAACATAGTTGCATTGCGTAGCACAAATTATTAATTTGAAGAAAAAGAGATATAGCTGCCGTATCCAACTAAACAGTTGCTGGAGCGCGATCTAATAAATTGGTTGACACATCCAACTATTGGATATACTGTTTCCATGCGAAAAGATACCCCAGCTATCGCAAAGATAATGCAGCTAAAAAGTTGAACGAATCAACCAAGAAATAGTTGCCCCATCCAATTAATTGGATCGCGCTCCAGCAACTATTCAGTATTGGATACGGCATAAAGATTCTACATTTTACTGACAAAAATCAAAAGTTCTGCAATAAAAAAACATGTCGAGCAACATAAAAGGGTACATTATTAACAAGTAATACCAAAATGTATATTTTATTTACTTTCCCTGATTAACAAATTTTTGAATTATTTAATATTCTACATTGAAATGTCCGTAAGAAGGTTCAATCTTATAAAAAATGTGACGGGACCATTATAATGAGCTATATTACAAAAACGTCTAAATTAAAAACTGAATTGATATTTTAAGTACCAAAGTTTTTTAATTTGTGGTTTTTTCGATCAAAATTCTCTGACTATTAAAGAATTTTTAAAATTTCCCTGATTTTTACTTGACTAACAAAATTCCCTGACTTTTCTCTGATGTTTTTTGGATTCAGGGCACATCAAAACGCAAAGATTTCACAAAATTAGCAAAAGTAAATTTTCCACTAAATCCAATACTTTCTCATGTGATGAGAATGTAAAAAACCATTTCCAACAAGATATAAAATTAAAAATATTGAAATTGGAAAAAACTGAATTTTCAAAATTTTGAAACTACTGTAGTTTGTGTAGTTTTCGACGAAAATGGCTAGCTAACGAACTCGATCTGTATTTGGACAGTAACTTTGTGCATGCAAAGTTGCAAGTTGATGCAATAAGTTTTTCAAGAGTTATCGTAAGGACACCATTGTGTCTACAGATAGACACGAAGACATACATACAGACAGACACTTTTTCTAGACCATGTTTAACGGACTCAGGGGACCCCAAAACGTCGAGATTTCAAGAAATTAGCGAAAGTCAATTTTCGACAAAAATAAAAATTCTTTCTCATGTGATAATAATGTAAAAATGATTAAAAACAAAAAATATATTTAAATAGTGCAATTCAAAATGAAAAAATCATATTTCGAATTTTATATCGGTCAACCAGAACTCAAGAAAAAATTTGTTTAATTTAGAAATACTAAAACATTAAATTTTTAATAACTATAAAAAAAAAAAATTTTCTGAGTAATATGTAAAGCAATACTTCTAAACAATGTTGACAGACAAAAAGAAAAATATTTTGATATGAAAATAAAATTTTTTAGTTCTAGATAAACCATTTGGCTAAATCTGGCCCAAAAACTTAAAAAATATACCTGGCCCAAGAACTTAAAAAAAAAAAAAAAAAAAAAAAAAAAATCATAACTTTTTTGCTTTTAAATTTTGAAAATTTAAAAGTTTTGTATTTTTTGTTCATGACGCCCTTATAGGTCTGAGTTTATATACTCCCCTGGAGTGTAAATCCAAAAAATAGGACGAATGGGACAATTAGGGACAAAGTTAGAGCAATTTAAATTTT